ATCTGCTCTAACTCTTCCTTTCTATTTCTCTCTCTTAGTCAGGCATCATTTTCCCAGAAATTCCACCACGTGCCTTCATTTGGAATTGTAATTCCCATGACACAGCGCAGGGACATCGTCTGCCTGTTGATCCGTTATTCCCGCTCCTCTTTTCCCTCCGATTGCTTTTCCAAACAAATCCCGCTCCTGATTCCAGCCGCCCTCCTCCCACAGTGACGTCACTTTGCTGCCATGGGGACGGTGACGTCACGGGATGGGGGGCAGGTGGGACATTCCAGGTGGTGACATTGGGCACCTCCTGGGAACAACAGATCCTGTTTGATTTTCCATCCTTGCTCCGAGCAGGAATTGTGCATTGTGGAAGAAATATCCCGCTTTGGATGGAGAATATTCCTGCCAAATTTACAGGAGTTGCCTCTTCCTACGGGAATATTCTTCAGGAAATCGCCTGAGAAGTTTCAGAGGTGGTAATTCCCAATTCCATGATAATCCAAGCGTGACGTCAAATACAGAAATTTCCATTCAGGGAATATTTATGGAATTGAAATCCCTAATAACAAAGGCTCCAAGCTTTTTCCAAAGTGACAAATCCATCCATCTGTAGGAGACGCTTTCTGGGGACGGTCAGAGACACGGCAAAGACCTCTATAATCGAGTTAAGTGTTAGAAGTTTATTTCAGGGCGTGGGGTAGAGAGATATAGAGAGAGCAAGAGACGGAAAAAGAGCAAGCAAGAGAAAAAAAAGAGAGCGCAAAAAGAGCAAAAAAAAGCAAAAAAGAGAGCGAGCTCTTCTATACCACTACTTATATAACCTATACCTTTGAATATTCTATTTCTTAACTAACCAATCTTTCTAAGTATACTAATATAGTAACATTTGTGTACAACCTATAGAAATCACTATTTTTGCATATTTTTAGTTATCTCAGGGTCCTTCAGACCTTTCCTTATAAGGCTGGGATGAGGGGTCTCAGCTTGGTTTTATTGCAGGAAAGAATGTGTTCTGGCATACCAGCCCGGTTGGTTTCTTTGAATTATTCAAACCGTGCTATCATTTGTATTTCTTCCTTAGCCTTTCTGGCTACAAAGTCACATTTATAATTTCTTTCTAATTCTACCTTCCCAACATCCATCGTCTTACAGGTGCCACTGGAAAGTTCTCCCAGGGAAAATTCCTGTCAGATCTCTGGAAATTTCTCTTTAAACCCCTCTGGATGAGCTTGTTCACCCCGGGCTCCCTTTGCAGGCCATCAAGGGATTTCTAAAGCAAGATTCCCTGGATTCATCCCAAATTTCTGGATAATTTGTGCCCTCCTTGACTCCATTTCTGAATCTTCAGCAGCACAAAGAAATCCTGTCCCTGTTAGTTCGGCATTTCCTTGGAAGAAATATTCTGTGTGTCTCTGCAAAAACCTCTCACATATTTAAGAAATTTCTTTGGTTTTCCTTCCATATTTTTGCTTCCAGAATAATTTGTCTTTCCCTCTGGCCATGATCCTGTAATTTTTTGGTATCTCCGGGCAGTTCTCTACATCCTGTTCCTAACCGATCCCAAAAGTGTGTTAGAAGGAAAAATATTGATGAAAAATGCGGGGCAGGGTGAGAGAAAAGGGACATAAAATGTAATGAAAAGGCCAAAAAACCATGGATTTTGTGGATTTGGCTGGAATTTTTCCTGCTGGGCTCTTCCATGGGAGCCACCTTTGTCTAGGGAAGATTTTCTTTTCCTCAGAAACTCCTTTAACCCTTGGCTTTTCCACAGGGGTTGCCAAGGAGGAGCTCCAAAAGAGCAGGAATGATCTGGACAACCAAGAATCCACCTGGGAAGCGCCACCGGCTCATCCTTATGGAATCCATCAATCCCAGACCCTCTGGGATCCGACTTCCCGACCGTTCCCACCTGGGAATTGCTGACCCGGAAGAGTGGATGGGATTTAAATCCCGTTTGCTAAACCTTGGGTTTGGATTGTTTCGGTCCCGTCCTCCCCGTTGGGATCCCTAATTGAATTACTCGCTCCGTGTGGAGTGCTAATTAGGGAAGAGCTCCCATTCCCTGGATTTTGGCTGAGCCGGAGCAAACAGGATTAGAATTCTTCCTCCCACAGCTCGGCAGTGCAAATTAAATGTTTATTCTTTCATGGAGGGGAAATGTCAGCTGCTTCAAATTACCTGGGAAAGATCCCAAAGGACTGGGGAGTTTGGGAGATACGAGCCTGGATTCTGGAGGACAACGTTCTCTAGGTTTGGAATTATTTTCCCCCACCTTTTTATTTTTAAAATCTCTTTGGATTGAGATCGAGCTGTGAACTGAATACTGAATTTATGCCATTTTTTTTTTCCCTTTTCCTTAATTTCTAAATGTATTTGTTGCAGTCGGGAAGGCACTCGAATCAGAGCTGATGGTTTTACTTTTATATCCTGTAAAATTCCAGGCTTGCAAGGATCCTGTCAGGTCAAATTTGACT